ACGAAAGCACCGCCTTTTATGACTAGTCGATGACTTAATATTCTGCTACTAAAACGGCGAGTTCCAAATTAACGGAGGTTCGAAAATGACCATATTTTTGGGCTGCGAGCCCATAGGTGGCCAACTTTCTGACGGTCAGACATCACGAATCTGGGTTACTCTGCTACTTAAGTTCTGTTAACAACGGATGATGATGCAGACCAACAACAACAATGCCCACAAGTCAAATACTCAAAAATCAACAAATTTAGAGACTAATGGGGGAAAACAAGGAATAGCCAGTGCGCCCGACGGATTACACATCCTCAGCAGCAGCCAGTCGGCGTCGGTGATCTTCCGATGTGTCGAGTTTTCAAAATCAAAAAGCAAGGTTGCCGTTATCTGAACCAGCTTTTTGGGTCAAATCCACATCAGGGGCAAACCAACGACGACGTCAGTAAACAGAAAATGAACGATTGGCTGTAAGCGACAGAAAATTAGCACAATGTTTCAATTTTAGACTGACCCCATAAAGCAAGAATGAAGTTTTAAAGCGGTGTGCACCACTGACTTACCGCCAGTCAAACCTTTACTCCATATGCAGTCAATCAATTAATGCTGGTTAGCCGATTTCAATGTCGAAACAGGAAAAATTCATAGCCAAATTCAAAACCATTCAGGAATACGTACAGTTCAAATACGGGACAACACTTACCCATGTTTCTAGCAGAGGCAGGGAAAGCACGAAATCCTGCAGTACAACAGCAAATGGGCACTGGATTCAGCAAAGAAACTGAAATCAGAGCAGAGCTGCAATAGATCGCACCGTGCACCGACGACCAAACGGATGCGCTGCCGTGAAATCGCGTCCCTTCACTAAGCTAAATACCATCTTCAACTGGCCTAATGCATCTAAATCTAAATTTAGCATAAGCTTCAACGAAAATTCCTTATATATATATAACCGATTTTGTCTCTCCTAACACACGCAGCATACAGCCTTGAATGCATCTAAAGACCTCACACCTAAACGACACGTAACTTATCTTATGCGTTTACGTAGTCGACTCCGAGGTCTTAAAAGCACATTGACGAAAGGCTGAGTGACTTCTTAAAGCTGAATTCTTTGATATAAACCGATCAACAGTAACTTGCCAAAACGTTAGCACCAAACGCCGTATTGCAAAGTGTTTCTAACAATAAGCTTTTATACAGTATCCCGCAATTTTCATTGTTGATTTGCAGGTTGAATTTAATGTTTGCAATATAGACTCTTTACTATTAGAATAAAATGAAATACGCTCGTAAACGTTTCGTTTAAATCAGTATTGCGCGACTGATATGTAAATAAACTGCAAAATTTTTTATCACATCAACGTGTCAAATCCCCCTACTTGCTTGGTTCCTTGTGTACTTAAATTATAGCGGAATATTTATATATTCGAGATCTGGTCGAATCACTTAACTTAATCTTCAGTTGCAAATAAACCCGCAACACATTGCTATGATAAAATACAGACAACACGTGCTGTTGATTTACACTTAGCAGTACATGTGGCTAAAAAACAATGAGACATTTCTAAAAGTACCACGTCGAAAGTGATTATTATCGTTATATAAGTTTCGTGAAACGCGATTACAAAAGTATGGTGTATACAAAGATTTTAAACTGAGACTAAATTTACTTTCATTTCATCGAGCATAACAATCTTTGTCGTAACATACGATGATTATTGAAGTTTTACTATCAACAATATTTACTAGGAGAACCGTTTTGTGTCAGATGGAAGAGCTTCATATTCAAGTTGGCAAAAGAAATGTTGCAAACGGGGCATGATTTCACCATCTTTTCTGATACAATTTAGGTAGGCTAAAGAAGATAAATTTTTCCGCAGCACTGCTATCTGTATACGGAATTGTTTCTTTGGACTGTTTCAGACGTCACTTTGATTAAATCATGAGTGTCAAACCAAGAACAATCTAGTAATGAATGTCTAGAATGACGACATTAAAAACTGAAAATAATTTTTATATTTTTGCAATATTACTAACATTCCCTGTTTCTGTTGCGCGTAGAGAGAATAGTCAAGTGCAGTCAATGTAATCGGTTTATCAGTGTAGAAGATGAGAAGAAAAAACTTTGCTGCTTGCAGACGACCTAGATTTGTTTGCACCTTCTTGAACTGATCTACAGCTATCCCTGGAAAGGTTCGCAACCAAGTACCAAGTCTGATCTTTTCTAGTTCTACTGCCCGTTGGTCTCTTCATGTTAACGGAGAAAGAGTGGAGCAGATGGCAATGAGTCTCCCGGTGTATGAGATGTGGAGATGAGAAGGTTGCTGTTTGCAAACGACTTTGTTTTATTAGCATCTTCTGAAACTGGTCTTCAGTGCTCCCTAGAAAAGTTCGCAGCCGAATGCGACGGGACCGGTATGCGTGTGAACGCATCTAATCCGGAAAGCCTAGTGCTTTCTCGTTTTCCTGCCCGTTTCTCCCTTCAGATTAACGGAGATGCGGTGGAGCACTTGGAGAAGTTCGCGTGCCTCGGAACTGTACTTACTAGTGATGGAAAATTGGAGGAAGAGATCGACCAGCGAATTGGAGTAGCCAGTGGCGTTCTGAGTGTACCAGCCCGATCTACTGTGACTAAAGCAGAGCTCAGCCTGTAAAGTAAGCTCTCGGTGCTCAAGTCGATCTCTATCCCCATGGTTACCTACAGTCATGAGTCGTGGGCCATCACTGAAAATCTTCGAACCCGGGTACAAGTTGCGGAAATGGGCTGTCTAAAACGAGTCGCTGTTCTCACGCGTCTCGACATGGTTTGGAATACTGAAATGCGGGAGAGCCTTGGTGTGCAACTTATGCTTCTCCAGATTGAGAAGGAGCAGCTGCGATGGCTTGGGCATGTGTTGCAAATGCCTGCAGAGAGGAAGGCTAAAGAACTGTTTCTTGCCAAACCGACCGGCAGAAGGCCCAGGGGATGACTAAGATTTACCTGATGCGAATATATAGCAGAAATATGCTTCAGTTGTCTGCTGCCGAAGCTTTGAATTTGGCATTGCATCGGAAGCGTTTGAAGCACTGCGTGATGCGTCTGCATCCAGGACCCAAAACGAGAAGCAGCTATGAAAAATGATAACGTTACTAACCGGAGGGTTAGCAATGCGTTAAAACTTTAGTTGTCAAATCACATACGCATACTGATATTTCCCGCCATATTGTGTCTATATTCACGGTAACAATGACTTTTTTGTAGCGCCATTCCCATTCGCGTCGACCAATGTGAAACCGATTTTCGTTTTTTCTAAGCGACCGTTTGACTTGTTCGGGTAATAGGTAAATTGGTCCTTGACGATTTTGCCAAGTAGGAACTAAATCCTAAGCCGACTTGTACACTGACGCCGATTCGAAAAGTCAGCATCTCCATAGAGTGGCTGTAATCAATGACTTTGTGCTTTATTACACCGCTTACGACTTTCTGAAACAATCTGCCGCTTCTCATATGAAGAACTGATTGTACTTTTTAAGTATATCGTATATTGCAAATGGAGTTCCATTAAGATTTCGCATTATCAGTAAACTTTTCATCGTCTAAATTTATTATTTTTTAGTCATAAAGATATGGGTCCCTCAATACAGTACTATATGGCCTATCTTTCTTGGTCAAGCATTTCTTCATCAAACCCCACAATGAGATTCATTGATCGTGAAAACTTTGGACAGCGACAATCCGCAACAACTTTTCTCGAGTTGATAAAAACATTTGTGTAAACGGCGCTGCGAAAAAAAACGTATCTATCTTTTGGGACAACTTTTCTTATAATCTAGAAGTCATCAGTGGCAAAGAAGCTGGCTTTTTTTAAACAGCTGTAGAGCTGATCTAGGCATCACTTTAAGACTATCTTTTACAAGCAGAAGTATATCGATTGACATATACTGCATAGAAAACGGAATCGATGCGATACGTCCGCAGCCACTCCCGTAACTTGAAGCGCAGGATTCGATCATTAGCAGCATTCCCGAAGTCTACAAAGTACTTGCCAACCGAATGAGCGAACTAGCGCGATTTTTCAGCAGTATCATTAAGCCGAAAATCATGTCATTGGTGCTTTAGCCTCTTTAGAGGCTAAGCTGTTCCTCCTTGTTTGATCAGTCAGAGGTAACGCGTCATCTCTTTTCCAACACTGTATTGTAGACTTTTGTCGGGACCCTCATAAAGGTACTGTTTACGATCACCCTCCTTGAACAGACGTACTACCACCCCAGTTCTGCAGTTCATTCGGTGTCTTCCACACAGTCATTGCAGTTTAACAGCACCTAGTCAGCCGCAGCATCAGCTCTTCGCCTAAACCTTCAACCGTCTTAGGTAGTTTTTCATGAATTGCAGCAGCTCTACAAGTTTTAAAGCTTCTGCAAATAACACCCTGCTAGCCGTTTGGAAATCTGACTAGAGTTCCTCATCGAACAGTACTTTGGAATTAGCTCTGGCTTACGCCACTACTAGTGCTGTCGCCATTCTCGCTCCATCAAGCCGCATTAACCTAAATGTTTTTTGTTGCAAAATTCAGGTACAGCACCGAGTACGCCGCTTTAAAAAGGTTCCATTTAGCTTCGCTGTAAATGGTTTTTCCTTGCGCCAGTTCAAACCTCGGTGCGATTTTGCTGCCATGTTTCCGCCCCATATCTGCGAACAGTCTTTCCAATTTAATACTTTGCTGACTTTTTCCGCCAAGTCTTCGTATGGCAATCGATAGTTTTCAGCGAAGGGCTACCTTTAAGCAAGACTGATGATTGATTGACAACTGAGAGCCTCCGTTAACGCAGATATGCGTTACAGATCACCGCCAGACCATGAAATCGATCATCGACTTCTGCGCACAGTAAATGAATCCATACATGCTGATGCATGTTTCGATGTTCAGAGAGTGTTTATAACGGACACTTCATGTGAACGAAATTTTAATCTTTCACATCGCCTCAGACTTGGTTTCTGGTTTTCACTAAGGCCTCCGATCAATGCACGGAAATCGCCCACCAGAATGATTGATTCCGTGGATAATCCTCTTTAAAGAGAACCTTCTATTCAATCCAACAATGCATTGTGTTCCTCCAAAGAATTTAAGCACACACCTGTAACAAGATCATAGCTTCTGTCTGTTTCAACTGCAATCGGAGGGTTGTTACGCTTCCTCTGACAAGCTTCCGTTGAATGACTGTCAGCCATGTTACGTTCTAGTAAAACACTGACAACTTTCTGAGCTGGTCGTAGATGAAATGTCAACACCTGAGTAGAATCGCTCTGACCCGCAGATGTTCTGAATCAAAGACCCCTGGCGCTTCGCTCACCATAGACCAGTCGGTGACCAATTGATATTCACCAACCATCTCGCGATATTCCACTTTCAGTGATGAGACGTTTTAATTACGATTGAGCTGCAACTGTCGTTATCGCTCCGGCAGAATCTTAAACGGCGTGCGACAATGGCATCGCGCTGTCTGCCTCACATGCAGAATGTTTTACTGAGTTACAACTATTTTCGCCTTCATATCGATCTGAGGCGCTGTAGCACTGCTTCTGTTCACCCAGCTGTCAAAAGGTCGTGCACTGCAAATATTTTGGTCAGTCTGATGATTGAACAGTTCCAACAATGCGGTACGTATCTTTCTTCTATCCTCAACATACGCAGGCAGTTGTACTTCGGAAAAATTTCGTTGACGAAACTGCGTTATGATAAACCGTTTTCAGCATGACCACTAACGCACCAACCAGGCACTCAATTTGAATTTCCTATCACAGTAATCTATTATGGTCTCTTTACCATTAAAGTTGCTGTTGGAATTGCAGAAAACAGATTAAATTTAACCTCTGAGCACCGAATTTATGCAGATATGCATGTCCCTTTCCAGATTTACATAGCATAAACGGAACCTAGCCTTGCTTATAGTAGTCGTGCGCTTTATAACCGACTTAAAACTTATTTTAACTTACTATAAAGATATTTTGATTTTTTGTGAACATGAACGAATATTTAGATAAATTATTTGAGGATAACTTGTACAATAAACTTATCTGTAAATTAGATGTAACATGACTATCTCGATCAGTAAATACCGTAGCGAATTTACCACCCATATCGAAATGTAAGCGACGTCACTATTTAACTGTGAAATGATTTTCTATCCTTCGCTTCTGATACACACCATGATTTTTATGCAGCGTATGACGCAGTACGTGGCATATTTTAAGTTGCGACAATTTAGAAACGAAAACTTACTGATAATCTAAACTAAGACGATTTTTTCTACTCTCGAGACCTGATAGCGATATGTACGTACATGTCAAATTATCCCTTATCGACTAGTTTTCCACGGCAATCAAACAGTGATAACGTGGAGCATTTTACTTTGCATGGAATCGAATGAACGATGCTTCAAACTACTGATCTTATGTATATCCCGCGCTAAACTTTGTCGGTGTGTGATGCTTTATAATAAATGTACTAAGTTCAAATACGTTACTTACTGGCTGCAGGGTCATCCCTGGTATGGTATGTTTAATGACTGGAAAAACTAGCACGTGTCTAGAAGGTAAGATACATGTCCATTCGTAATTTATAGATGAAACCAAGACATGAGACGTACAGCACCATTATACAATATAACCGTCAAAGCGCATGATGCACGCATATTCGTCACGGTACGTATTCCTTCA